TGTCTCCATGCAAGTGGTGATTCACACGAAATTTCCTTTCTCTCGTCTTGAAGAATATGGCTATTGCTATAATTAATATTTAGTTTAAATATGCTCTTATAGATCTGACTTAGTTCAATATATTAAATAAACACAAATATAAACCCTCGCGTAACCTGTTTACGCTGTACAGGAATATACGGTTCGCTTGTTTCGCCGGACACCAACACTTGCCGTTCAGGAGCAATGCTTGCCTACAAATTTTATCCCCTTCACAATCTTTGTTTTATTAATTTTATCGTATAGTCGCAATTTTCAAGTATTCGGCGTATTCTGAAACTGAAAAACTGGGTGGCGTGCGAATCTTGTAGACTACATCGGCCTAGGCGTAGAGCTATTAAGTAAACAGGGCCTAAATTAATTTAGTAGTTTCATTTAATTGTTTGTCTTGCTTTTATTTGTCAGTACAGAATATTGTAAATTAAAATATTACTACAATGCAATACGCGAAGTATTTCATCAGACATCTGCACTAATAAATACTGTACAAGGAAACCTTAAATAATAGTAGACATTTCTTGTTTTGTCAGGAAACATCACAGCTCACTTCGACACGGCTTTTGAGTTTTGTAACCGGCCGAGGCGAAAGTAAATTGTGCAGTCGGGAAAACGTCTTACTTTGAAAGATTATTTTGCAAAGCATACTCGTACACACAAGAATCATAAAAATACAAATGTTGAATTGTATTGTAATTTGTTATTGTCAACCGTCAAGTTCAGTTATTTTTAGACAATATGGTGTTAGCCAATCAGAATGCAAAAGTGACCGGCCCGGACCAGGGCTTCCTCGTGTCTCGCCTCGTCCCACACTGAAGCCCTGGGAACGAGGTTGCAGCCATTGCGATCTCCCTGTAATATATTATCTCACAGAAAGGTCCCTTTTCAAAAAATGCCCCCCCACGGGAAAATCCTTAAAAAAGGCCCTGACGCCACTGACTGTAAACCTGAAACTGTTTTGTCAGAGCTTATTTAAGAAAGACATTGGATGGGATGAACGGTTAGATGAAGAGTCATCCAATACTTGGAAATTGTTACAACAGGAATTAAGAGAAGCGACGCCAATTAAAACACCACGGTGTTATTTCAACGGTGTTATATCTGAAGATATCACCACTAGTTTGGAAGGATTCTGTGATTCATCAGTGAAGGCGTATGCGGCGGTTGTGTATTTAAGGCTAGAAACAAGAGATTGCGTTCAATTGAACATCGTAGCTTCAAAAACTAGAGTAGCGCCTTTGACGAAGCAATATATACCGAGACTTGAACTGCTTTCAGCACTAATATTGGCAGGATTAATAACGCATATAAAGGAAGCATTGGAAGGATATATCGATATTTCATCCATACGTTGTTGGTCGGATTCGGAACTCGGAATGACTGTAACAAATTCATTCGGAACTCGGAATGACTGTGACGGAGTCGGATTCGGAATGACTGTAACAATCTTTCTCTTTACGGGATATGTGGCGAAACTCGTGAGTGGAAACAGTTTGTACAAAATAGAGTCCAAGAAATAAGAAGTCTTGTTCCACCAGAACTGTGGAATCACTGTGCTACCAAGGATAATCCGGCTGACATTCCGTCGCGAGGAACATCCCCAGTAGAACTATCAAACAGTATGTGGTTTGGCGGACCAGAATGGCTGAATATCTACACGGATCCGAGTGAACAAACAAGTATGAACGAGAATGAACCTCCGAAGGAAGTGATCAAGAAAATGAAATTAAAGAAGTCAAAGAAACCTTCAGAAACGTCATCCTTTAACACGGCTTGTGAAGTAGGACATATTGGTGAAATCACCGATTGTAAGAGATTTAGTAGCTTAAACAAACCAGAGAGAACTACAGCGATAGTGTTGAAATTTATTCAGATGTTCAAATCGAAGACAGATCCGACCGTTAAAGCAAAGCCATTAACAGACTACGTGTTACAAGCGGAGGAACTTTGGTTAAAAGATATTCAATTTCAACTGATGTCGAAGGCGAAGACAAGAAAATGGGAGCGAGAATTCGGACTGTACCGTGATGAGAGAGGTATTTTGAGATGTGAAGGCAGACTCAAGAATTCAGAATTAACCACGACGCAGAAACACCCAGCAATCTTGGATGCGGAACATTATGTAACGTCACTAATAGTGAGAGATAGTCACGAAAGAGTAAAACACAATGGTGTGAAAGAAACCTAGACAGAGATTAGATCGAAATTTTGGATTGTTAGAGGTCGTCAATACGTGCGAAAACTGATACATGAATGTGCAGTATGTCGACGATAGGAAGGACTTGCTTACAAACCACCAGATATACCAGCATTACCTGTATTTAGAATCACGAAAGATCACCCTTTCACGTACACAAGGGTGGACTTCGCTGGACCACTGTATGTGAAACAAGTGAACGCAGTGGCCATGGAGAAGGTTTACATGGTTATATATACTTGTGCTCTGTGTCGCGAGCAGTACATTTGGATGTTGTGAGTGATATGACGGCAGAAGCCTTTGTAAGAAGTTTTAGGAGATTCACAGCCCGCCGAGGAATACCACGAGAGGTGAAATCAGACAATGGAAAAACATTTAAAGCGGCTTCAAAACAATTAGTAGCCCTATTCGAGATTCCAGAAGTGAAGAAAAATCTTTCAGATCAAAGCATCCGATGGACATTTAACCTTGAGAAGGCACAATGTTGGGGAGGGTTCTTCGAGAGACTAATTAAGAGTGTGAAGAGATGTTTATACAAGATTCTTAAAAATGCCAGAGTCACGAACGAAGAACTTTATACCGTGATTACGGAGATAGAAGCAACATTAAACTCGAGACCGCTAACGTATGTGTCTACGGAAGACCTAGACGAACCAATTACACCTTCACATTTGATAAATGGAAGAAGAATAAACTCGTTGCCGGATGCAGTTAAGCCAGGAGAGGAATCGAGAATTGAAGAGATAACCAACAACAAAGTTGCAAGACGAGTATCGTATCTTAGAACTTTAAAGGAACACTTTTGGCTGAGATGGAAGAATGAGTATCTGCTTGAGTTACGCAATGCTCGTCGACAGAAGACTAAACGACAGAAAGGAAATTGTATTAAATTTGGAGATGTTGTAGTTATTCACGAAGAGAACGTACGTAGTAAGTGGAAACTTGGTAGAATCGAGAAACTGATAGAAGGAATCGAAAGGACGGGGCTATTCGCGGAGCGGTAGTTAGGAAATTAACAGACAAAGGAAGAAAATGTACGGAAATTAGACGACGGCCAATTCAGAAATTATACCCGGTTGAGTTGTCGGAAGGCGATGAAGAAATTGTAACGGTAGGAGATAATACGGAGAACGCTTCAGAGAAAGACGATCAGAAGACGGAATTGAGAAGGAGACCAATACGGGAGGCAGCAAGAAAGGCACAAGCGAGGAGACAGGAACTCATTGAGTCAGGAAGTTTGTGGACATTAACGTTATTAACATTTACTTACTTTAGTTATGAAACTGTTAAGTTGACCATTGTAAGTCATAAGTCATGGTCAACTGAGGGAGTGTAGGATATTTATGAACATGATTAGGATAGAAAGGTATAGAACGCAAATTGCATGACGGGACAGAACATGTGCGTGAGAGAAGTGTGCGCGAATTATTGAGCGATATGAGTATAGGTCCAACAGCATATTTCTCATCTTTCGGTCGCAGCGCGGATTATTAAAGTTATCTATACAAACACTTTCCACCCAGTGTGAGTTGAGAAATGATTAGATTTTAACATAGCCGTTGATAACCTCCTGATAACCAAAGTAATGAGCAAAATTTCACAGATGACAAAGAGAATATGTTGTGCAGGTCATCAGTAACACTGTATTAATCAATAACACTTATTATCAGTGTTATTGAGTCATCAATAACAATGTATAAATAAAGGGCCACGTCCATATTCATGTCGCCACAAATAACGTCGAATCGACGCTATTATTTCACCCACCCATTTACTATTATCAGAAACATTTATTTTCCCCTCCCCCTCCGGACGGCAGAAATTTCCTCCGTGGGGGGAGTATGGATCTTTTCTGGAATGACCCAATCTCACATGTGAAAATTATTGCTTTTCAATAATCGCTTTTCTGCCAAAAATATTGCTTTTCAAAGACTGTCCTTTGTATAATAAACAGAAAAATAAACATAAATACTTGGAAATACCAGATTTATTTCTCGAAATTTCCGCACACCCATGTATTATTCTCTATATGGCAACTCGTCATGCTATGCCATGCCCTTCATGCCCATTTTATGCCCGTCATGCTCATGGCAACTCGTCATGCTCATGGCAACTCGTCATGCTCATGGCAACTCGTCATGCTATGCCCTCTGTGCTATGCCTATGCTGATAATCTTGCATCTATTTGAATGATACAAATCATTAATAACTTGCATAGCATGACTTGTTGCTATGGCTAGCTTCACCAATGACAGCTGATTATAATTATAAATAACAAAAGCAAGAAGTTATAAGCATTGAAGGTATTAATATAAAACCACAGGTGGCCAGGCTCTGTGTGGGTATTTATTTATTTTTTAAATAAATAAGACTGGTATTCTGTGGTGCCGTGGTATTCTGTGGTACATACACCTGTACATTTATATTATTACTCTTTACTTATAATTATTTTGAATATAACTTTAATAGATCGAATAGTACAAGTATCAATATCAGTGTCAGTTTGTATAATAAATATTCAAAACTATACGATTACGGGTCAGACTACATTCGGAGCGTACGACTCGGCGACGGACCAGTGACCTTGTTTACATCATATATGTCTAAGTGACAGTTTACGAAATTAGAAAAGTTATATTCTTATCCATTTGCTATTAATACTGTGTCTGTGGAGGTTCCGTTGAACTTAGCCTTCTGCATATAGCCTATATAGGCGTAAAAAATTTGGAAGTATAGACTGAGAAACAGAATAGCATGCTAAAATCTTACCAGTATTAAATAAGCTTTCAAATGTCTTGCAGTCTGCCAGTCTTGGTGACCCAGTAGCCTTAATTCAGCCTGATTCGTTCATTCGTTGTTGTTGCACCAACAAAAATACGTTAATTCATAAAGAGTAAGTCCAGAGTACAACACAACATGAAAAACACAGTTCAATTCGGTGAAAATTTAACGAAATTGCCAGAAATATTATTTTCCCACTCATCACCACTGAACTATATAACATATATGATAACCTCCTGATAACCAAAGTAATGAGCAAAATTTCACAGATGACATAGAGAATATGTTGCGCAGGTCATCAATAACACTGTATTAATCAATAACACTTATTATATATCAGTGTTATTGAGTCATCAATAACACTGTATAAATAGGGGCCACGTCCATATTCATGTTGCCACAAATAACGTCGAATCGACGTTATTATTTCGCCCACCCACCCCTGATAACGTCGATCGATATTCATACTTTACTACCGTCATTGGCTGCGATTGTATTTCGATACAATATTTAAATAGTGATTTGGTTTTTGCTGGAGTGGCAAAACAATACAACCCAGTGCCTTTTTTAAGGAATTTTCACTGGGGGGGGGGGGGCAAAACAGGAAAAAAAGGCAGAACGAAAAATATGAGCCGTCGAGGTTTGGCGAACGCGCGAGTCTGAAGAGAGAATTTGTCAAACTTTAATGATTAACTTCAGCTATAGTTACTTTAAACAATAACTTCAACTCTTTGTAGCTATAATCGTACAGCTATAACCAGTGGCGTAGCCAAAACTTAATTTTGTGGGGGGGGGGGGGGG